CGACAATCAGTTACAATCAGTCCGGCGGCTCTGAAGTAAAGAATAATAGCTACAGTTTATGAGCTCTTCTGAAAAGATTCACGAAGCAGAAGATTACGAGAAGAGCTTTATTTTCACTATCCCTGATTCTATGGTTTGGAAGAAATGTTAGCCAGAAATAGTTGCAGTTCTAGTAATGACCACCATAGATGGCTCTCAAGCGGGTGCTAACAATTGTGCCACAGTGAAAAGACGACTGAACTCACAGGCAGGCATCTTCACATGTCGCCGTACATGATTTCAAGCACTCGAGCGAGTTCGTCGATCCAGCTTCCATCATATTATTGAGCAGTTTCAATGCAGGTCGTAAGGCTACGCAGGACACAGAGCAGTCCGGCATGCACTCCGCCTCACAAACCTCAAATAGAAAGAAATCACCAGGAACAATATCGAATTACTTACGCCACCCATATTATCAAGGCAGTACTGTAATCACTCCACTTTATCCCCCCTTAAACTTGATGAAAGAGATGCATAGCAATACGCCATTACATCTGTAGCCCTACTATTGTATGCACACAGTGCAGAAGAGGTGAATTCATGTCTCCCTTCAAAGGGCAAAGGTTGCAAAGGGGGAGCTGGCGTAGCAGCTGCACGTATGGTTCAAGATTAAAGGCAGTTGGCACGATAAATCGCTATACAGATGTAGGATTTATACGACTGGCTTAACAGAATTCCGTGACCTCGGACAGGCGCTCCGTGGCGCCTTTTCCAAGGAGGGTACCCCTATAACGCCCTATCGAGCAACAACATTCCGTCCCAAACGCCTTCCTCGCCCGCCCGCCCACAAACGGACGACCGTTTCTGACGCTCGTATTCATTCATTTGCTGAGCAAATTATGAAGCGGCCGTGATGCTGCATGCATATATGGGTACACATATGCAGCCGTATCTTCGGTAGCGGTGATTGGCAAGATGCGTGCGGCAAACTCGTCCGAAATCGATTTTCAAGTCACTGAGAACGGAGGCTTTTTCTTCGCCGGATTTTGACCGTTCTTTCGCCATTTCCCCACTACATAGCGCCCTACTAGCATTTTAGGCCGAGTGGGAAACCATCGTGCCAACTGCCTTTAAGTCTAAGAACAAGTCTCGCTACTTCTACCCAAGAATCTTAATCTTACAGATACGGAACGGTATTATTTTTGCAAGAAAAACGCGACCAGCTCGTGCTTTCCATGATTTGTTTTCCGAAGGTGTACGCAACATCTAAGTGTCCATATCATGTGAGGAAAAACCAAAATGCAGAAAGAAAATAGATATCACGAAGTCCCGAGAATAAGGTGTAGGGATATGCCCTTTGCGGCACAGACTGCAGTTCAGTCTCTTATCTGCAAAATCCAAGGCAAGGGTATTCATATGTGACCCAACAATTGCCTCCTAACTGTTCTTCCCACATTATGCAGCCTTCTTCTCACCCGTAGCCTTGGTCTTGGGGTCCGCTGTTTTTTTTTCAGACGTCGCCTTTTCCTTGAATCTTTCCCTTGGGATTTTTCGTGGCCGTCTGCCCCACAACTTGCAGCCCAACGTTATCCTTGTGGGTTGGTCCTCAGCCCTTCTCAGCACGTGCCCATACCATCGCAGTCGCTGCTCTCGTGCCTTCAGCTGGATCGGAGCCGTCTGTGTGACCGCCCTGACGTCCTCGTTTCTGACTCTGTCGAGTCGTGTCCAACCGCAGCCCATCTCAGCATCCATTTCAGCTGATCAGAGCTGCCTTTCATGATTCCTGCATATGGGTCAACACTCGCTGCCGTAGAGCATCGCTGGCCGTCCATCCACTGCCCGGCACGCCTTGAGCGTTCTGGAGCACCCCAGTTGTACATAACACAGCACATAGTCGTACATAGACTGTTGGCTATTTCAACCAAGTCGCAGAATTACTCGAGCCTTAACTGCCTGGCCGATGCATCAGCTGCTAGATCACTTTCATGTGTTGGAGCCTCCGACCCATGCTTTCTAATCAGTGAATTGTATGCTCCATTTATACTTTAGTTTCTGCGTAAGAAACGAAGCATGGTCCTCAAAGAACTCGTAATGTTCTTTTAGGCACAAACCTCATAAAGATACACACCTTTAAAAACCGATTTAACGAGAGGAGCGGTGAACCAGAGGTGGTTGACCATATTCGCCCATCTTCCCACCCTCAAAATCAGCGTATATTGAGCAAACTACGAAATTAAGCTCAACTTCAAGTACTACATGCTAAAATGCATGCACGCTAGAATTGCTTCCTTGTTTAGGCCATTTAAACAGCGAGTGTAAGGTCTAAGTTTCCTGTAAAATTCTGATCTGATCCGCATCAGCAACACAAGATTCATATAATCATGAACAGCCTTTGTGACGCCACTTATTGAAAGGGTTAACTGATCAAAGATACCTTTGGCATGAATGTGGGCTGTGATACAGTGAAACTTGGTGTCGGTGTTGTCGGCAAGGGAGAGCTGTACGGAAGCAGTGGCAACGTAGGGAACGTAGGAGTCTGAAATATTTAGCATGAGTTTAGCACACTTAGAACCCGGAAAATACGGCTAAAATGAAGATTCCCTGATTTACTCATGAACCCAAATGATGACCTCGTATAAAATGAGCTGTTAGGGTAAGCAAGCCATGTTCCAGGCGCTCAACGATTTTATTCTGGGAGAACCGGGATTGGTTGGAGGATGATCTGAGTTTCGATAGAGAAGATGTAATCCGGTTTCCCTTGGGACTCATACTGGGCTAATCAGTCACCTTTTTCTAAAAACAAGTCCACCTTCAGCTAATCTAACGGCGAAACCGAAACAGGACTCCTTACTTCCGCATTATTCATTTTTTTCACTGCAAAGTCCACTTTCCTTCGAGAAAAGATTTGTCCACGCCAGATGTTTATATTTCGTGCTCCTCCTTTATCCTCAGGGTTCATCTCGACCTTTATCTCAACTTTTATGTGATTTGGTTGTAACAAGGACATAGGATCAGGAGAAAAGTTACAGTATTAATTATTAAAATGCCTAGGCTTTACCGTTTCAGTCGTCGTTTGGGTTTTCGTAGTATCTTTTGGCATGATGAACGTGTAATCGGCTTTCTTCTGGGTCTTCTGACCGTCCGTTTTTAGTTTTTCCTGCTTGAGACAGGAAAAGTGACAGGTGTGAGAGCAATCCTAAATCAGTTTCATGAAAAGGTAGTTTCAACTCCCTGAAAGATACATTCAAGCGACTACCAAAGAGATAGGTAAGAGGGCGGAGACTTATTATCACTGTGTGTTACCCACAGAGGTCTCCCTATGTCTACTGCGGTAAAGAAGAGTGCATACCAATGATGGGCGCACAATGACTATGAGTCTCCACCCATCTTTTCACCATTGCGACTACTGCGGAGATAAGCTAACGCTTATACTCAACAGCGCTCAAACCGCAGTGCCTGACTGACTGTGTTTCTAGCCGGACGAATTCAAGTTCAAGAACGGGGAGCAGAAAACGAAACAATCGCTGTGTCCTTTCAGAAAGAGAGGCACGACGTGATGATGGCCTCGATTTCTCTGTGAGTGTTAATTTTCGCAGTCGTCGAGCCTGACCCGAGACTAAAAATTACCTGGCGAATACTAACCTCACTACATTTCGACGGGAACTGCGCTGCTGTACAACTTCTGGCGCAGGCCACTTCGCACTGCTCGACGCACGAATTGTAAGGCGGTCGTGTTGACATCATTTGCGGTGGTGGAAGTGGTGGCGAAAGCTGAAATAGAAACGACAATTTAACTTTTTGGATACTGAGTAGCTGAAATAGAAACGACAATTTAACTTTTTGGACACTGAGTCTAATACATACTGTGTTATGTTTTCAACCACGCATAACCACAAGTATGACATAGTACATTTTAATTACTAGTAATTACTAAAAATGCACAACAAAATAGAACAAATCAATAATATATGTGACATAAAACGCATATACCTATAACTCATGAATTTGTTGAATTCTGAACGGTACCTGATTACTTGCTCCTTCACAAACACATCTTGGAGGCACGGGTGGAGTACAGGAGCAAGCCATTTGAACATTTCGGCCAGGATATACAGGAGTCAACGCCTGAATAGAGATAGAGAACGAGGATGTTTATCATAAAATTACACCACAATCTTTACTACTCTACCACGCTTAACTTTTATTTTACTTCAGTTATGCTAATCTCCTAGCGCGCCAAAGGAAGCGCCTCAAAGCTCTCTTCCAGTGATACTGGAATGTGGGCTCCGCCTGTAAGCCAACAATTCCATCTTTAAGGTTCAGTGTATCTTGTTCATGCTTGAGTTGTCTTCGGAAGCCAGAAGCTTCAGTGAAAGCTGACGAAGGTGCCAAATCATTACTTTTGCTGAATGACTGATTGTGAGAAAACTATTACTTCTTCTTTCCAGCGCAACTATGTGCGCTCCATATCTCGGGAAAGGGGAAGGCGTGTTGTTCTTGGACTTTGGGGCGTGGACTTCTCATCCCTGATGGGGCGTGGACTTCTCATCCCTGAACGGAGTAAGCGTGTCATCTGAACATGGCGTAGGAAGGGTTACTCGTGGAATAATTCAACTTGTGGCAACTGCCATCTACTGTTGTACAAAGACATGACCTTAGTTCCTCACAACAGCAGCTCACCAAAGTCACGGCTACGCTTAAT